GTTTATTTAACTTTATTTTATGTGCATTGGTGTGAAGGTGTCAGATCCCCTGCAACTGGATCTTCATACAGTTGTGAGCTGCCATGTGGGTGCTGGGAATTGAACCCGGGTCCTCTGGAAGAGCAGTCAGTACTCTTAACCACTGAGCCATCTCTCCAGTCCCCAGGACTAAATTATAAAGTGGATGGATAGAGAGTTGATTGAGGAGGCCAGCTTGCATATATATGTGCACCATAGACATGTAAACACATATGCACATGTAAACACATCTCAAATACACATATATGCAAAACCAAAAACAGAGTGGGTGAAAATGACATGTTTTGTTAGGGTTGGTGCTACACACTTTTATTTCTAACACCCAGGAGACTGAGGCAGGAGAATTTCTTTGAGTTTCAGTCCAACCAAGATTATATAGCAAGACCTTACCTCAGAGTAAAAGAAAGAGAAAGGAAAGGAAGGAAAAGGGGAGAAAGAATGGGGTTGACGAGCTGGAGAGCTGGCAAGTTGGAGAGTTGGTCAGCTGGCCCAGGGTGTACTGAGCTTCCTACACAAGCCTGACAGCCTCTGTTCAGCCCCTGAAAACCGTGGAAGGAGAGACTTGACCTCACAAACGTCCACTATCCTGCACGTGTGCTCTGTGGTGTGTACCCCCTCATACACACACACACAATAATGATAGTAAGTTACAGAAACAAAAAAGAAGACGACTTTTTTTGGAGACAGGGTTTCTTTTTGTAACCCTGGTTGTCCTGGAACTCACTTTGAGACAAGGCTGGCCTTGAACACACAGAGATCCACCTGCATCTGTCTCCCAAGTGCAGGGATTAAAGGGGTGCGCCACCACCGCCCAGCTTTTTGTGCTTCGCAGCATCACCTTGTCTCGGGGGAACAAAGGGTTTTGTGTCTCCTTTGTATTAGCCCAGAGATCTAAATATGATATTTGCACTGAGTAGAAGATCCGCAGCTGAAATATGGAATTGGCATTTCCCCCACCCATTTCTCTTTCCTCTTTCTCCAAGGTATCCTTTGCTGCGCACATCGCGGGCGGATTTGCTGGGATGTCCATAGGTTACACCGTGTTCAGCTGCTTTGACAAGACACTGCTCAAAGACCCCAGGTTCTGGGTGGCAATTGCTGCCTATGTCATTTGTCTCTTATTTGCTGTGTTTTTTAATGTCTTCCTGTCCCCAGCGAACTGACTCACCTCTAATGTAAGCTTATGAAAAGTGCCACATTGGGGGGAAATGGAAAACATGAAGAAACGCAGACATCCCAGCGTAAAGAAGATGGGACAGCACCCTATTCATCACCTCTGAGGGGAGCTTCCAATAAGAGAGAGAGAAAGCTAGGAACCAAAGACCGAGTCTTTCATGCATAGAGTATGCATGTATTATCCTATGACGGAGACTTATATCTTATTTGATAGACTCCACGAGAACTGTATTATCCTGAGAATAAACCCTTTTCATATCTATGTTGGACTCTTGGTTCTTGTGGCTTTGAGGCAGAGCCTCCTGTATCCCAGGATAGCCAAGATCTGGTTAAATCCAAGGAGAAGAACCTAGAATTCTGGTCTCTGCTTCCGTTATTGCAGCTGGGATTTCAGGTTGTGTGCTCTCACCCCAGGGCCTCCAACCTTAGAGCTGGCACTCCACCTACACCCACTAAGCCACACCCCCATGCCAGACTCTTTTTCTAATGAATCCCTGTTTTTTTTGTTTTGTTTTTTGTTATTTTGTATATAATAACTTACATTATGCAATCTATTTCTGGGGGTATTTAACATCCCTTTCTGTTTAACATATCCTTTAGCATTTGATTTGATTTTTCTATAAATGCCTGCCATGTAGAATTGTGTGGTATACCTGCAATATGCTTTATATTATAATAAGCAAAAAGCTGGTTCATTTACACAGAGAAATATGCTGGAGAATTGCTTGTCTTTATTTGTACATGTTTATTCATGTTGGCCATAACTTCTAGCAAATGTATGATTACCAAATCAGCCTTTTCTGAACTCAAAGCAGTTGCCCATGGAAAACCTGAATAGGTATCAATGGTGTGGTGTGCATATTTTAGGTCTCCAAATTTAACAAAATAGACTATATCCATATACCAGATTTTGTAGACAGAAGTTTCTATATTGCCTGGCCCCATAGCCATTTTGTCCCTAAGAAACACACAGAGGCTTATATTAGTTATAAACTGTTTGGCCTATTAGCTCAGGCTTTTTACTAGGTTTTTTTTTCCAGACAGGGTTTCTCTGTAGCTTTGGAGCATGTCCTGGAACTAGTTCTTGTAGACCAAGCTAGCCTCAAACTCAGAGGTCCACCTGCCTCTGCCTCCCAAGTGCTAGGATTAAAGGTGTGTGCCACCACCGCGTGACTATTAACTAGCTCTTACAACTTAAATTAACCCATAATTTTTTTAACCTGTGTTTAGCCACGTGACTTGGGACCTTTTCTCAGTACAGCATTTTCATTTATCTCACTTCCTCTGCATCTGGATGATGACTGCAGACTGAGCCTTTTTTCTTCCCAGAATTCTCCTAGTCTGGTCGCCCCACCTATACTTCCTGCCTGGCTACTGGCCATCAGCATTTTATTAAACCAATATGAGTGACAAATCTTTACAGGGTACAAGAGCATTATACTGCACAGAAGTTCCTCTTTTTTTTTCTTTTTAAAACAAGAACTCTAAAATCTTTGTTTAGCTTTTTTCCCCTGACCATTATCAATAGCAACTTGTAACCAACACTCTAAACAAAGACAAATATCCGTAATCCATTTTTGGGGAATGTAGGCATAGTTTTCCAGGCTACTTCTTGCTTATTGGGGATGCCAATAATATTATGAGGACCTAAAGAAAATTTAGGGTTATGATCAAGTACTGAATGGAGTATTCTTTGAGGCTGGATCATCTCAGCCAGCAGTCTTGAGGCTGTTCTGGATGCAGAACTCAGAAGAAACTGCAATAGAGGTGCTCTGAAATGTTGGATCATCTGGGCCATCTGTTCCCACTGAAGATTTTTCAGGGGGTCTTCTTTGATCAGACCTTATTTTTAACCCAGAATGAATCCACAATCTCTCATTTCCTGTGGAAACAAAATCAAAACCTCTTCTCCAAAGTAACATCTTTTGACTTAAATTTCAAAGTCAAGGCACTTTCAAAATATATATGTTGAATTAATCCAGCAGCGCTTATAACCAAATATCTTTTAGCAGCTGTTGCTCCTTCCTCAGCCGTCAAACAATTCAAAGACAACACAATAATACACAGTATCTAGATTTTCTGTGGGCCCACTTAAGAGTTCTAACTCAAACGCAGTACCTTGCCCTGCACTCAACCATTCTATCTTTTCATCAAATACCCAATGAATTGGAAACATGTCTACCCGACCCTCTGGGGGGTCTGCTCTCAATGGAGACCCTCACCCATGCAGCTTTTCACAGACCTCTGTCTCCAAGCTTGCTTGCTTTATTGGACCCTGACTCAATAAGGAATACCTCTTTCTCCTCTTCCCCACAACTGGCAGGACTTCCAGCATGCTTGCCCTGTTTCTTCCAAAGCTGCAATAAAGTGGTCCTCAGGCTTCCTTCTGAGTTCATTTAGAACATTATTTATGAATGAGACCTGTAAAGAACCAGTAACTCTTTCCTGAGAGCATGGCAATATATTCAAATACCTAATTTTAAGTCATTCTTTAAGCAAAATGTAGGATCTGGCATAGTGGCATATGCCTTTAATCCCAGCACCTCAGAGGCAGAGGCAGGAGGATCTCAGTGAATTTGAGGTGAGCCAGGTCTACATAGTGGGTTCTAGGCTAGGCAGAGCTACATAATGAGATCTTGTCTCAAAAAAAAAAAAAAAAAACCCACCAAAACCAAAAAAATTAAATGAACAAATGTATTATCAGTTACCAAATAGCTAAATAGCAGGATTATCTCATTTCAGTGATGACAAAATAGATGTCATTGAACGAAGGCCCAGAATTTATGTAAAAGTATTTTTACATAGAATAATCTTTTTTTTTTTTTTTTTTTTTTTTGGTTTTACAGGGTTTCTCTGTGGCTTTGGAGCCTGTCCTGGAACTAGCTCTGTAGACCAGGCTGGTCTCGAACTCACAGAGATCCGCCTGCCTCTGCCTCCCGAGTGCTGGGATTAAAGGCGTGCGCCACCATCGCCCGGCCTACATAGAATAATCTTAAACTTATTTTTTGAAATTTACATTTTAAGTTTCCTATCAAAAAGCAGTTTGGAGATTTCTGAGTACTTAATAAAAGCACGTTTTAAACTATTTAATCATCTGTTAGGCTATAAGTTATCTTTCTCGGACACCCTGTAAGGTTTTTCTCAGCCTCAGCATGGACCATGAACTATGCCAGAAACACAGGTGAGCATGTCTGTGTCTTTCCACAAGGGCGGGATTCACTGAACAGCAAATAAAGTCACAAGGTTTAGCAGCTTTCTTTAAATATTTTTTCATTAAAAAATTTAAAGTTATGTGTATATGTGCATGTTGTTGTCTATGTGGAAAATCAGTGCGTGTTGAGTGTGGGTACCTATAGAGGCCAGTGGTGTCAAATCCGCTGGAGCTGGAGTATAGGCAGTTGTGAGCCACCTGACGTGGGTGTTGGGAGCTGAACTCAGGTCCTTTGCAAGAACAGTACGCTCTTAACCATCTCTCCAGCTCTAGTTGAGCCGTTTCTGTCATATTCTGTCTGCCTTGGTAGCCTGGGCAAGGTGAATGATGGTTCTTTATTCTAATCTTAATTACTAGTCATAACTCTCATATCACACCACCCAAGGCACAAAGCAGCTATGCCTATATACATTTTTATAGATTACAGAATGAGTTGTAGCAGTTCAAGAGGTTTCAGACGTGGGCTGAGGGAGAGTCCGTATTGATAATGTACTAGACTAGTTCTGGGAGGGCCTTGCTGCTGGTACTGCTGAGTTCAGCCGCGAGGTGGAACCTGGAAACTGGAAACAGCTGCTCACGTAGAGCTGGGTGAATGGGTAGAGGCAGGTGAGCAGGGGACAAAGCCAAGCTGAAACTCAGGAGACTTTGCCGTATTCTTTAGCTCCTGATTGCCAGGATACTTTTCCATCCAAGCTGCAATGTTTACACATGTGCCCCCACAGATTCAATTTTCCCTCACAGTTTCACAGCGTTACTCCCTTCCTAGTCCCACAAATAAGTCTATGCGGGATGGGTGGTGGATTTGCGGTTTCCACCCATCTCTTCTCACTCACAACAGTAAAAGCTGCTGGTAAAGGTATGTCTTCTAGGGCAAAACACAACCAGAAGGAGAAAGGAAATGCTGTACTATAAAATGCGGAGTAACATAAGAGAGCCCAGCCTGACCCCAACACTTCATTTTCAGATTTAACAATTCAAAGTGTCAGATGCAATTCCCCCGGGGAAGCAAGCTCAAAATTAGCACATCAGCTAGTTAGCCTTTAGAGAGAGTGCCCAAGGGAAAGCCACTAAAATCAGTCTTTTAAAAAAAAAAAAGTTTCAAATTTGCTAAGTTCTTGCATCTTTGATAACCTCTCTTTTAAAGGAAGAGAGAAAAAATAAAGACAATAGCTCCAAGGATTAATATAACCTACAAAATGTCTCCAAAAGGTGCGCACGTATGTGTGTGTACACACCTGTAAACACGCACATTTTGTAAAGGTGTGCCAAGAATTTTTTTAAAAAAAGAAATGTAAAAACAAAGTGGCTTGGCATTTGTGACTTGATTTTAGGAATGCCAGCCCTAGACTCATTGCCCCAAGCTGCTTTAGACGGCATCGTAATAACCATAAGAAAGACTTCATGTATTTTATGGTCATGTCATTCACACCAGTGACTCCCTTGATACTTGTCTCCCTGTCTCAAGTGGTTCTACAGAGCTGTACTGGCTCAGTATAACCCAAGAAGCCTTCCCTGTCGTAGGCCAGATACCTACCATAGAAATGGCATTATTATTAAAAAAAAAAATAGCCCTACAAAACTGAAACAGTTTAGAAGAACCGGGAAAGACAAAACCAGCCACCAAAAAGAGTCAACAAAAAATGGTTCCGAAGGAACCCAAAGTACTGAAAAGACCCCCCAAACGGAATGGAAGGCAACATGTTAGGTACAGTGATTGGGGAAGAAACAGTTTGGACCAAACATTCTAAAGAGTTCCAAACAAATTCTATAAGCTCCTTGGTTTCACCAAAGAGGCAAAAATCTGGATGCTGGCTGAAGTGGAAACCTAAGAAAAATCCTTCCCATGTGGCGTCATCTTGCTCTGAACAGCTGCCACTCAAAATGCTCTGGCTGGGTGATCAAAACAGTTACCTGGATTATTAAGGACAAAAGCTACGTACTGACATCTCTAACTAGCTAGGCCTGATCACCCATCTCCAATTTCCCAGAGAACTCTGCCCCTTGTCTCTGGCCTTCTGCCTGTCACACACATTTCAGCTACCAATAGAATG